AAATCCGACCTTGTGTAACAACCTGACTCAGTTCAAGGTAAATTACGGGCAGAGAAAAATTGGAAGCGACCGGATGTGGCAGTTGGGAGATTTTGGGGGAAGACTGTGCTATTCGTTAACAGTAAGCATCATTTTAAAATATGTAGTTCTTTCGAGTTATAGTTTAGGACTTCAGATATCTTGGATCTTACATAACAGATTCCCAAAGAAGCTCTTGCATGGGAATGCGTGTAACAAACTTCACAAGATTTGACGCTCGAACCTTCCATCTTCCTTAAAAATCCAAACCTTTCGATCATTGGTTGGTTCAGAAATTTGGATATTATCTGCTCGTCTTGAAAGACGACTGGATGGAACATATACAAATCTATTTTTTTAAAAATCCAGAACATCAATTGGAGATCCCATGCAACGCTTAACACAATTTACGGAGAACTGAGACTAATCTGTCTTAAGCTCAAACAAAAAACGATTACAGTTTGCCGGCCACAGATACCGAGTAAATCGTCTCATCCTTATATCCATGGCATCCTTCCGGAAGTATCTTCTCACGAAAATTCCCCAGACACCATAGCTCGGGACTCAGGGTTGGACATCTGGAGACAGCAATACAGGAGCGAACACCGTGGAAAGGGATTGTCAATGGAGTTCCGACCAACCAGAGAGAGGTCGAAGGATGATGATGATGAAAAAATATTTATAGACACGGTGGGGTAGAATATATATAAGGAATGGGTCTCGCAATTTTATTAGAACCTATATGATCGGGAAATCAAAACCAAATACCGCATTGTTTGTAATTTATTTTCATTTTTTTTTAATCAATTCACCACAGGGAAGGCAATAATGCCACTAAGACGCAAAGGGATACCGGGAGTGAAAGAGAATGAAAATACTTTAGAAGAAACTGGAAACGCAATCCTAAACAGGAAACAAGGGATAAATCTCTACAACTGTTAAAAAAAAAATGGAGTGAGGTCTGTAAACCGGACGAGAAGATCACACACTACTATTGAGGAGAAAAAATATAGTAAATAAAATTTAGACATATTAAAAGCATAGAATTGAAGCAGACTTTAGAAGGAGCCGGGAACCCAATTCTAAACAGGAAACAAGGGATAAACCTATACTCCTGTCCAAAGGAGCTGGGAGACGTGTGAACCGGACGATAGGCGAACCTATCTACTCATATTGAAGAAAAAATGAAAATATAATTTCAGATTTAAAGCGAGGATTTTAGAAATATCGAGTTGAAGTAGACTTTAGAAGGAACCGGAAACAAGAAATAAACATCTACTCATATTCAAAAGGGAAGAGAGTAAACAGGACGACAGGTGAATTAATTGTCAATCATTATTATTAATTTTTGTTAACAAATATTGACTTTCAAGTTAATTTTTAGTTTGATTTTTATCATCATTTTTACCCCCGGCAAAACAATGGCATAAGATCTGTAATAAAAGCTGGCCGCATTTCCTTTTTGCCTAATGGAAGCCTGAGCGTTCAGCTGCTTTCAAATTAAGATAGACATAAATAAGAGCAAGAAAATTGCCTTTTCTTCCGTTTTGCCTCATGGAGACGTGAACTTTATAATTAAGCCGGTTGTATGGACGCATGATTAAGACTTCCGTTTTCCGGTCATGACTCCCGGCGTTCAAATCCCACTTTTCTTCAGGAAGGTTACTTTTTCATGTTATCAGCGATACCATTATTCTGCAAAGTGCATGAAAACCAAGATGAATGAATAAAATTTAATAGACGGATTTAGAAGCCGTCGAGGAGGGTTCTGCTAGCACGAAATCACAAGTCATCGTGACCGAGGGTCTGAACGTACTGGACTTGTTAAAAGGTTCACTTACAAAAATTGTATCTAAGGTTCGCTTAAGCACAGTTGCAGTTTAAATGCACTGATTGGTTCTGCAGTTGTTGAACAACCAAAAATGTTCCTGAGGAGACGTCTGCAATAGGAATTGGCTAGCTGCTCTAGCAGACGGACTGTTAATAGCCATTACTAGCGAAGATTTGCTAATAATGAAAAAAATAAATACACTGTTATAATTACAAACTGTAATCAAATTGATGGCTGTCTGATAGCCAATCCCTGTCGCAGACGCATGCTCAGGCATATTCCAAATATGCCGAACTGTGATGTGACTTCTTGATGTTATGGGTCTGTGGAACCCATAATACCAAGAAGTCATCTACCTGATAAATTGATCATGGTGAGATTCAATGGTCAGATGGACGTTCTAACCACTCAGCCACGTCTTATATAGCTGGACACTCGTATTCGAGGATAACCGTTTACTAGGGGGGGGGCTAGCCAGTCCCTTATTGCAGACGCTTGCTCAGGCGCATTTGTGCTTATTCCCACCTGTGGTTTATACTGCAACTATGCTGAGCAGACCTTAGTTACAATTTCTGGGAGAGAGCGTGTTATCTAGCGTGATCAACAATTTGAACAAGGCCAGCACGCTCAAGCCCTTGGCCATGATGACTTGTAACTTCTATCGACGGCAACAAAGGGTTCCGTCTACCCAATTTCATTCACAAGGATTGGTATGGTTTTCAGGCAATTTTCAAAGGTGTCTCACGCTGGGATCGACCCCTCCAGTCCGATAACATCAGGAAGACTTCTTCCTGGCGAATCGATCTTGGTGAGAGTCGAACCCGGGTATCATTGTCAAGAATGCGAACATTATAACCACTAGACCATGTGCCCATTTGCCACGTGGCAGCATATATAATAATTGTTACGATATTGAGTCACCCCCCGCCCACGAGGGTGTCATGTGGCACAAGGCCTTTTTAACGTGGGCATTCCCGAGCAATTAGGCTCGGCCAAAAAATAGCCCATTTGAACCCGTATAAACGTGTTCAGGGCCGGTTTTACCTCCCCGAAGGAGACTCCGCCCTTCGGCGTAGCCTCCTTCGGCTTCCTCCCGCCCGTAGGAAGAGAGTTCAAACTGAGCAAAGAGAACGACTGACTTTTAATAATAATAAATATAATAATTGTTACTTGAGCTGTGATTTGATGCGAAATATTTTGAATTTTCATAATTTAAAATACAGTATATACTCGTGTATAAGACGACTTTATGCACCCCTGATGTATTTTTGCAAGAATTTTAACCAATCAAGAAAACAATTTACATGGGAATAGTGCAACTGGTTATCCAAAAATGCATGGTTTTAACTCCATTACAAAAATTACCCGTGTATAATACGACACCATTTTTTGCGTAAAAATCATCATAACTCGCAGTATAATCAAATATTATACGCTACACGTCAGTTTTAAACATAGTTTTAAGCTTTTCTTTCTAAACTTTATTAGAATATTTATTTAAAAACTTATTTTAAATGTAACTTTAGCGTTATAACCAGAGATGTTACTAATAAATACGTATTATTGATTGGTTGGTTTATCGGTTGGCTGGTTGGTTAGTTGATTGGCTGGTTGGCTGGTCGGTTGATTGGTTGGTTCGCTAGCCGGTTGGTTGGTTGGTAGATTGACTTGCTGTCTGGCTGGCTGTCTGGCTAACTGGTTTGTTGGTCGTTTGGCTAGTTGGTTGGTTGATTGCCTGGTTGGTCATTTGGCTAGTTGGTCGTTTGTTTGTTTACTTGGTTGGTTGTGTGGCTGGTTAATTGGTTGATTGATTGCTTGGTTGGTCGTTTGGTTGGTTGGTTGGTTGAATGGTTGGTTGGCTGGTCGTTTGGTCGGTTGGTCGGTTGGCTGGTTGGTTGGTTGATTGGCTGATTGGTTGGTTGGTTGGTTGGTTGGTTCACCGGTTGTGGTTGGCGGCATATCAACATCTCTATGGATTATTTAATACCAAAATCTAAATATTTTGTACGCAATTTTATTTTGGTTGGTTAGTTGTTTGATTTTATTTAGCGTCATATCAACATCTCTATGGGTTATTTAATGCTGAAATCTAAATATTTTGAACAATTTCTTGTCGCCAACTAAATATATTTTGAACGAAATTGCAGGCCTTCAACTACAGAAAATATATTGTTAAATTTTTTATATATAAAAATGTATAGCTGGTATTTTTATTGTAAAAATGTATTTTATACTTTAATGGTGTTTTATTTTTGTTGGGAGGGGGTCGCTATTTGCCTTTATTTGGGATCCTAACAGGTGCTACCACCACGTGTTAGCGTGGACCTGGAAACAACAGCAGTTAAGAGGTTGTACCACGCCCCTGGAAACCTCCAATATTTCTAGCGATATGGCTTGCTGACCTAATTTTATTGGTGGGGGGATAATAATGGCTTAGTGATACGAGTTTTACTAATTACCTCATAGCTGGGGGATAAGAGGCGGATTCTAACCTTTCCCAAGGGTAATTGTGCGTAAATGAATATAACGAACTTAACTGGAATTGGAACACGACCCTCCAATTAACAATTCCCTGTCATTACACCACCCGCACATCCAGGCTTACAGCACCTGGTATTCCCAGTGGCAATAGTCGTTTCCCAATGAGGAAACATTTGGCATTCATTGACCGAACAGCCAGTACTCTTTTCGGTTGAAATATTTTTCTTAAAACACTTTTTTTTTTTTTTTTTTATATATATATATAGGAAAACCCGTTCCTCAATGCCAATATCTGTTATCGCTCTTTCTAGTATTGATGGGTGTTTTTTTCCGAACTTTCTGTTTGAAGTGATGTGGAATGTTAACATCTTAGTTACGTCGCCATTTTCTGTTCGATCTGTTATTGGTAGTGCTCAGCTGATGTGGTTTCTGTCATTTGGTACCAGTTCTTTGTGATTCTGTAGCGCCAATTCACAATGTTCAAAGAAGGATGGCCTTTGCCAAGACCCCCCCAGTCTTGACTCGCTCAAGGCCTTTTTATACCATTGATCTTAGGAAGCGTTTGTATAAAACTGAGAGTTTTGCTATTTCTGAACGGATCTAGCGTTCTGCATGGCGTCCATATAAAAGTCTAGATCTGACGAAGCTATTTAAGAGCACGACTCTAGTTTTAGAAGAAGAAGAAGAAGAAGAAGAAGAAGAAGAAGAAGAAGAAGAAGAAGAAGAAAATAATAAGGGTATTGGAAGAAAATATATCGGTCTGTTTATTAAAAAAAAAAAGTTCCCCCTCGGGGAAACGTCATTAGATCTGATGTGCTTATGTACCTCTCGGCTACGGAGTGGGGTTGATGACCAAGCACATTTGAATAGTGCCCTTAAATTCAGATTTTTCTTTGACTCTCAAAATAGACATATTCGCACAGTTTCGCATCCTAACATAAACAAAGCAATTTCCAAAGAAAGGGACGGATTTTTTATTTAATAACACGACAGATTTTTATCACTTTAAACCTTACTTTAGTGGATGAACGTATTTGGATAGGCGCTCCTTTTTTTAAACAATGTATTTATTTATTTTCGTCTACCGGCCTGAATACTAACCTGCGTCACACTTTGCAGGATAAACCATCGTTAGATCTGACGTTTTTTAGACCGACTCAGCCACGTAGTGCATCGCCGATCAAGCATGGCCTAATAAAGCCTTACAAATGTAAATCTTTTCCAGATTCTTGACTGTTCGTATCACTCTGTCGGAGAGATAATAAGCATTCTCGAATATTAAAGTTAAATATTAAAGTCGGTAGCACAAAATAAATAAATATGCTGTTTAATAAATAACCATAGCGTCTATTCAAATATGGATATCCACTAAAATAACGTTTAAAGTGTTAAAATATATGTTTGTGTATGTGTGAGTGTGTGTACGTGTGTGTGATTGTGTCATCATACGAGATCAACCAACAAGATGTTTTTGAAACCTGATCGTATCTGCACGATTGTTTATAGTCCCGTAGAGTATATGCAACACTACATGGACATTCAGTATCTGACAGCCACAATCGAATGACAAGAACCAGTCAAAATAACTGGAAACTTCGTGTAGATGGATGATAAGACAATAATGTGGTGGTTAATACCAGAATCATACCCTGATTTTATGACCTTTGTCATTGCTTATACAACCACAACCGCAAAAATAGTGGCCGTTGTAACTTCAGTAAAACCTTCATCAGATGATGACTAGAGTCAGGCAGGGTTTCAAAGAAGGATGGCCTTTGCCAAGAGCTTCAGTCTTGACTCGCTCAAGGCCTTTTTATACCAGTGATCTTAGGAAGCGTTTGTATAAAGCTGAGTTTGGTTGTGTGGCTGGTTAGTTGGTTGATTGATTGATTGGTTGGTCGTTTGGTTGGTTGATTGCCTGGTTGGTCGTTTGGCTGGCTGGTTGATTGCCTGGTTGGTTGGTTAAATGGTTGGTTGGCTGGTCGTTTGGTCAGTTGGATGGTTGGTCGGTTGGCTGGTCATTAGATCTGATGTGCTATGTTCAACTCTATATCTGATGTTAAGTTTAAGTGACCTTTCTGTTTCTCTTACGTTCAATCCATGGCATTCTCAGCATGCCTCTGGATAACCATATTTCTGTTGCTACAAATCTTTTCTTCCTCTGCAAGGTAATTATCTAGCATTCACTGAATATGAAGACGAATATAAAACAGCAGTTCAGTAGCCCTTTCTTTGTTTCTAACAATTTTTTTCTGTTTCTTATTACTTTGCATAGTTTTTGGAAGGCATCTTTTGTTATTCCAAAGAACCCTCGGATTTCAGTGTTTCACTTTCCGTCTTTCCCAAATATTTAAATGTTTGTAATTGCTTGATTTTGGTATCTCCAATTCGTAATTTGCATGTTGGAATTGATTAAAAGAGGAATATTAATGCATCCAGCACGTATTGAGTAGGTATCTCCACTTATTTGCTAAAAAAAAAGAGTATAGCATGATGAAAAAAGGTTCCAAACTTGATGAAAATAGTTTTATCATCAAAATGTTTATTATTAAGAGGAAAAAGTAAAGTATTTTATATCATTTTATTCATTTTTTGAATCCTTTCTAGCGCGTTCGAAATTTTGGTTAAAAATCTTGTTTTTTACGTCTTTAGTCCCTTCTTTTTTGGAAAAAAAACACATTGATTTGGAAATTCTTGGAAAAATCAAATAATTACAGGATTTTAATGAAACTTTCAGGATTTATTCACAAATGAATTATTTTGACATTTTTTTTTTTTTAGAAAACTTAGTAAAAATAATTTATTTTTTTTTACATCTGTTAGCCTCCACTTATTTAATTTCAAGAAATTAAAATTTCAGCCTCTTCATATTTATATGAGTTAAAAGCCGGACTCCTTGGATAATTTAAATCATCAATTTGTTTTTATCAAACAGCAACACCATTTGCCGAAAATCTGCTCCGCATGGTAAAATAAAAAATTCAATAAAACTATGATATTATTTAATTAGGGGAGATTTTAAATGCTTTTATAAATAAGATATATTAAGGATATTATTGTCTTAAGAAAAAAAAACCTTTTTCGATGAATAATGCACTTTTACAAGAATTGTTTAGGTTTTTTTTATTTTAATTAGAAAAATTTAAGTTTTAAATCTTTTAAAATTTTGTATTAATTTCAGCCTTTTAGATTATATTATCATTAAGTGAATACTATATTTACTAATCATAAATGGTAAGACTTACTACTAGTCATCAATTTCCAAAATTTTTAAAAGAATTTTGATTTTTTTCTGTATATAAACGTGTCCATTTTTGAAATTATTCCTAAAATTAAATTACGAAGAATATTTGCTTATGTTATGTCAACATTGTAGATTCGATTTGGTATATTGATTGATTTTGTTTAGCGGCATCTCTATGGGTCTGTCTATATTTCTGAGATGAGGTATTATGTACATTATTTACATTATTCGGACTATTGTCCTCATCTTTGTCGCCATATTTATCACAACATTTGGACCGTTGTACGCTCCGGCCATCTTCAGGTGGTTGGAATTTCGAACTGAACCCTTTATTTCGCTCACTGGGGTTGAGTGTTCAAGTTTCACGTGCCATGTTTGATGGATGTCAGTTATCAGTTATCTCCTGCAAATTTCCCGTCTGAAAGTTCTCCACTGCCTTAACCGGGTATTTTGGGTCCTGTGACTTTGAGACCTGTCACTGGATCAAACCAACGCCTTTATCCACTGTGCCATGTGTCCTTGAGGACATCTGGGTATGAATTTCTCGGTATTATAAACCTAATGTCTTCAGCAATCATTTTTACCAGTGCTCATATTGCAATTTTGCTGTTATCATTGCATGTTTTTTTTTTACCAGAACTTATATTGCAACTTTGTATAATCATTGCTTTTCTCTGGCACTCCTTATTACTGGTTCTCATATTGTATTTATTTCTATGCTTGGTCGGCTCTATGGGTTATTCAATACTGAAATCTAAATATTTTGCAAACAATTTTATGGCTTCAACTACAGATGGAATGTATTGTTGGTCATTTTGCTATAAAATGTATTGGTGGTAATGCTACTATATGTTCTGTTGGCAAAATCTTTCGCATAAAGATGTATTGCTGGTAATTTTTACTAAAAATATATATTTTTATACTTTCATGGTTTTTGTTTTGGGGTTCAATGTTTGCCCATAGATGGAACCCTAGCAGGTGCTACTACGCCGGGTCAGGGTGTACGTAGGAACAAGAGTAGTTAACAGGTAGTTCCACACTCTTCAAAACTTCCAATTTCTCGATCAGAACTCTTGCTGCTGGATGTAGTTTATCATCATACCTTTGGACTAGCGAGAAGTGCAGGAGAAGAAATTGTTAACAAGAAACTTACGGTTTCATCTAGCCAATTCAACTGTAAATTGATGAGACCTAGCCGCCAACCTAGTACTGCGCTCAAATTTATAAAGTCTACATACCATAGCGGGAAACTCATCAAGAACATTTACCATGTAAATCTTTATAGAAAAGGTGTTGAGAAGCTACGTTACGGCTGTGGGAAGGTGATTGAAACCAAAATGTCAGGTCAGATACTTCTTTGGGTTTTGTAAAGAATTTCTGGATATATATAACAGAAGCACCAAACCAGGTGTGGCAATAATATTCGATGCACAAACGAATGGTAGACTTATAAAAGTGAAACACAGAGGATCCAGCTTGAATGCGGAAAACGATGTTTCTAAAATCAGATCTTGAGTTGCGTCAATTGTCGATTCTGGGGTTGGAGACAGTTGATTGAACCCACAATGGTCAGCGAAACAAAATGGCGACGAACATGATGACCAGATAGGGAAGTATGGGTGACGGCGGAAGAACAGAAATACGACCAGTAAAAGACTGCAAAGCTTGACCATGAACCTCGAAAGGTTGATGCTAAAAACGAGAAGAAAACATATCGATGGAAATTCCAAGAGATAAGAAAAAAAACAAACAAAAAATAGCAGTCAAAATGTCGCGCAGAGTTAAGTAAATTCCTTCTGCAGCACTGTGCACTATTTTCGGCATTATGTGCATGGAAATTGGGCACATCGAGACGGTGTAATGAGTAGCAATCTTGTTTGTTAGAACAATTACGACTGAGTAGTGAGTTTGATCCTCATTGGGTGCCCCATACTTTCAGCCTTGTGCCACATTTAAGATATGCTTGGAAAATCACTATGTAAATGGAAATTGAACTATTTTTTCTTCAAGTACATGCAACGTTTTTTTAAAAAAAATCTTTAGCTACCTTCTTAAATAGCTTTAAGTAAACATTGTAAGTTGCTCGAAAAACTACATCACACTCCTCCCCGGTCTTTTGAACAGGAGTAGAGATTTATCTCTTGTTTCCTGTTTAGGATTGGGTTTCTGGTTACTTCTGAAATATTCTAATTCTCATTCACACCCTGTAGCCCCTTGCGTCTTAGTGACATCATCGCCTTGCTTGGGGTGAATTGATTTATAAAAAAAAAAAAAAAAAAAAAAAAAAAAAAAAAAACATGAACTCTTTTATCAACAGTAAATTTTAAAGATGTGTGTAGAGCTATATTGGTTGAATGTGATGGCTCAACTAGGTAAAATCTCTTTTGTAAACTTTGATTTTATTAATTTATTATTTACATCGATATTTTCGTTAAATAAATAGAGTCCATTTCATTCATAATATGCTGAGGATGATGTGAATATACATCGGAATATATTAATACAACAAATATCCGTTAATCAAATTTGATTGCCTACAAGCAGGTCTTTTGGAGCTACTTTTGTAAATGCTTTGATACTTCTAAATAAAAGCTTTTATTCTTTAAAATACTTTTATATTAAAAAAAAAAAAAAACGCCCGAAAAGCTTTATTGATAACTACAGAAAAAAAAAATTCAGATGTTAGAAAAAAAAAAAATTAGACCTCTTTTAGAATGAGTTTTCCCCCAGCAGTAAAAAATGCCTTAATCTTGTCCGGGTCGCAAGAATTTGGGATTCTAACCTCTTTATTAAGTTCTTTGCTTGTCGACCGTCCGTTCACATTTTCGAAGCTTTTCGCTCTCACGCGTAATAACTGCCCTTCGCTACTGATTTTTACACTTTCCGGTTCGAAGTTGCTGATATGGACCTCGACAGAGAACTTTTCCTGACCGTCTTCAAAATTCCGTCTTGGTAACATGGGAGATGTCTTCATTGGGTGGAAGCTTACTGGCACACGTCTCGAAGGTGAAGGACTGGATTGTCTCGGTCTACTCGCGCTTAAGTGGTCAGCATACTTGGGTGGTGGCAACAAGGCTTCGGCTGTCAAGTAGCCATCGGATGACATGACACAGTTGAGGCTTTTCAGGTCAACGTTGGCAGGCAACGCCACTTTACGACTGTATTCAACCATCTCTGATGATTCACCGTCTTTCTGTTCGTGCTTCGCGTGAACCTGTCAGAAAAGGAGAAAGGATAATTAACATAATAAATGCTCGTTTGCTTCAACATATTCATTTACAGATCTTAAATATCGTTGAACTGCGTGAATAATCAGTGATTCACAGATATATACTGAGCTAAAAAAAAGAAGAAGAGAAATAATGGCTGCTTAATATTTGTTTTTTTCTGGTAATGGCCGAGTGGTTAGAACGTTCTATGAGAGCCGGGTTCGATTCTCACCGTAGTCGATTTGTCAAGGAGTCACCTAGAGGAGGCGATCCCAGTGCACGGCATCTTTGAAAAGTGCCTGTAAACCATACCACGGGTTGACCCATGCCTTGTGAGTGAAACTGGGTAGATGGAACCCATGGAAGCCGTCGGTGGTTGTCTGACGTCACAAGTGTTATAATGGAACACACCTATTCTATAGTTAATAGACTCTCCCACCTATAATAAGCAGGAGTTGTAGGTGGGCTCAGTGAGTTGGTCAGTCAGTCGACTGGCTGATCGGTTGAACTCTCTGCCTTCGGGCGGGGAGGAACCCGAGGGAGGCTACGCCGAAGGGCGGATTCTCTTTCGGGGAGGTAAACCGACCCTGAACTCGTTTATACGGGTTCAATGGGCATATTTTTGGCAGAGCCCACGGGCTCGGAGATCCCACGTTAAACCGGCCTTGTGCCACATGATGCCCTCGTGGAGGGGGTGACTAAATATCGTTGTTCAGTCAGTCGATGCTGGACGACCGTTAGTCGGATATTAAAAGTATCAGCGACCACCACTAGATTTCTCTGTGTCATTACCTATTATATCAAGTTCCTAACGTTTTGTACGTCGAACCTATTTTAGGACCGACTTAGTGAAATACAAGCCTCCACTGTGAAACTACTCTACAACAACAAGTTATCGTGACCGAGGGTTGATCACGTTAGAGAACGTGTTCTCCTCCGAAAACTAAGGTCCGCTCATAGTTACAGTATAAACCACAGATGGTCTCTGCGGATGTTGAACGTATCTGAGCAGGTGTCTGCAATGAGGATTAGCTATCCGCCCTAGTAGAATAACATCTTCGGACTCTGTGCCATTTACAATGCAGCAGCCAAAGGCGAATCGGCGAGCCGAGTTCAAATTCCTGCTTAGTCTTTTGCGATAAATTTTGCACTAATGCCATCGGGAAAGGCTTGAGTTCTTCTCTTGTCAAAAAGTAAAAAGAACAATTGTTTATCTTTTTCTTTTGATGAAGAAAACAAAAAGAATCATATCTGATACCTGCTTAACATTTTTCTTACCTGCAACATCTATTAAGGCACTATTCAACAGCTAACTGCACAGGTAGTGGATTGCTTATTTACAAGAATAATCTTATATTTACAACATTCTAAATGTTAATACAATTAAAACTAATGCAATATTTATTTACCAATTTATAAAGAAATAAATGCGAAATTTTTTTATTCATAAATTTACGAACGTTTACCAGATTATTACAATATGTGAACCAATTATAAGGAAATTTGTATTATTTACTATTTTATAAAGTTCGAATCAATTGAAAATTAGTCAATATTTTACCAAACATTCTAATAAACAATTTAATAAATACAGAAATCTTTCAATTAGTGCGACTGACATTGGTAGCTATAAAAATCAATTTTCAATTACTATGGTTAAACTGAAGAATGTTTTACTGTACTAATCAAGTATCATGTATGCACTAATTGAATTTTAATATATAAAAATTTTAGCGCACTAAACAAAAATCGAATTCGCATTAATCAAGGGATGACTATAAATAGTGTTTATAATTTTTGTTGTCAATTCTCAAGAACAAAGAAAATGTATAAATTCATTTTCATATGCTTAGGCTTGATTCCAATTCTAATCATCGCATTTAAAACAAGAAACAGTGAAGTTAACTAAAATAATTATAGAGTCAATAGAAAAAAATGTCCTTTTTTTGGTTGGCACGAAGGTTAACGTCTGCTATTTTTTCTTTATTAACTGTGAATTAGTATGATTCCTGGGAAATATGCGAATGTTTACTGAGGTGAGTTTAATTGGTACGTGAATGATATGCACGCATCAGTTGCAATTTTACTATCTTGGGCTTGTCTCGCGGGGTGGGACGGATATAAAGATCCCCTCTTCACACATAACTTTTACCGACCGCCTGATGATTGCGTGAAAGCAGATTAAACTAGTGGTCGGTCACTGCTCACTGGAAATTTTATATATATATATATATATATATATATAAGTTGCGAAGAACTTGGTAAACCGAATGGGTAATTCCAAGGAGGATGAAATCCTGAGAGCTCAATGTGAATACAGAGCTAATATTTAATGAAAAACAGACCACGTTAAAAGGTACCATTACAATAATTTATTTCACCAAAATCCTTTTTAAAGGACTCGGATCATGTTTCGTTGTTGGAATTTACCTGATGATCCGGAATCCTTTAAAAAGGATTTTGTGAAATAAATTATTGTAATGGTTTTTTTAAAGTGGTCTGTTTTTCATTATAATATATATATATATATATATATATATATATATATATATATATATATATATAGCAAATGGATTTCCGGCAAATATTTCCGGTTTAGTAAAGTTCAAATTACTGCTTAAACACACATTCGACGAGGTTCCTCTGTGGGTGAATGGTCAACAGACACCTTAGACCAAATGACGTTTTCCGTATGGGATACAGGTTCGATTCCTTTCGGAGGACGCATTTTTTTCTACGATATTTCCCAAATATTCAGGTCGGTTAATGTAATTAACACTGTTTAATTAAAAAACGGAGCATTTACTGAAATAAGTTGTATCCATAAAAATGATGTATAAACATAATATATATATATATATATATATGTGTGTGTGTGTGTGTGTGTGTGTAATTTCTAAAGAAAAGGATGGAATCTTATGAAAGGAAAATATGCTCAGTATTCGAACCTGTCTTCTGCTTCGAGTATCTACTAAAAATAACGTTTAAGTAATAAAAATATCTCAGATTAATAAAAAAATGAAATGAATGAATCCCTTTCTTTAGAAGTTGCTTTGTTTACATTAGTAAACGAAACTAACCAGATATGTTTATTTCGAGAGTCTGAGAAAAATCTGGCTTTAAAGTTGCTATTCAACTTTGGTTGATCGTCTATCCTCGACGTAGCCGAGCGATCCAAAGCACGTCAGGTGTACTGACGGTTTCCCCTAGTGAAATATACTGTTCAATAAATAAACGGAACGCCTTCTCAACTATCCGCTAAAAATAACATTTGAATATATATATATATATATATATATATATATATATATATATATATATATATATATATATGTATATATATATATATATATTATTGATTAAAGAATATCAAACACTTAAAATCCCATAGTATTTGATATTCTTTAATTAATAATAATTTTGCTCTGCCTCTTGACATATAGTTCCCCTGGATCTATATCCGCCTGGAAATTCCATACGGATTACCATTGCCATATTGAACGCCTCAGAGGCCTCAGAAGCCCTTTCTCATTTATTCGATGGTCAAGTTCTAAGGAATAGATTCTATATTGATGCTTAGACATACCTAGCAAGAAGATGCTGAAAAATTCTTGGCCCATAGAAGCATGCATTCCCCACCAAAAATCTAATATTTGATCATTTAATCAGATTTTGAAGATTGGTCAGGTTAATGACTTTTTAACACACCCATGTACGTTGAATTTTTAATTCAACATTATCAAAAAAATAAACAGAAAAATGACAAACAAAAGCTATGTATGAATGGAAGCACCTGGATCAGAGATTTTAAAAATTGCTGTAAAAATTGTTATTTATAGCATTGAATGTGTGACTCAACCAGATTGATTTGTTTGGTTTGTTGATTTTATTTAGAAGCATATCAACCTCTATGGATTATTTAATGACGAAATCTAAATATTTTTTTGGTATAATCGAAAAGATTAATAAAACTGGCCGGTGTTACAAAAACACAATTAAAACACAATTAAAATACAATTAAAATACAATTAAAACACAATTAAAACACAATTAAAATACAAGTGTCATACATGATTCACGTTTGAGCGATCATATCTCATACGATACGTGACTGACAAGGCAGAAGATTTTCCCGCAGTAGGCTACCGTTTTTTTCTGCGGTAGACTGGTTACCAACCAAGGCTAGTCTATCCTACTATTTAATCTATAACTGGGAGGGGGAGAGAAGAGATGGATTCATACCTTTCTCAACAGTATTTGCGCTTAAGTGAATGTAACAGGCCCGGATGTAATTTGAACTCAGTTCATTCGATTTTCATTCCGGGCCATCCAAGAAAACAATACTTACCTGCAACTTATTATCTACTAATCGGACTTCGATCTCTTGTGGTTCAAATTGACGCACATCAAAACGCGTGGTAAACACTGGTCGACCATGGATATCCTTAGATATAAACTTTTCCGATCCGGTTGGGTTGGGTGAGGCAGATCGTCGCAAACCGGCAGAGATTGGCCTTAGGGTCAACATGTCGCGATGCATCCGGTCAAGTTCCTTACACCAGTCTGTATTGCCAAGGTCTTGTTGGATTTCGGAAAGAATTTTGTTATGTCGATCCAAGAGGGTCATATCGTCGCTGAGGACTGGAATTTCAATAGACATCATGGCGGGTGAATTGAACAGCTGTAAAGATAGAATGAGAAAAATTGGAGGAGAATGAAGGACAGAAAATGAAGAAAAATGAATTAGAAAGAAAGAAAGAAAGAAAGAAAGAAAGAAAGAAAGGGGGAAATATACAAAGATTATGAAGGAGAAAGAGAAAGACAGATGGAAATATAGAAAGATTAAGAAGGGGAAATAGAAAGAGAGAGAGAGAGAGTGGGGAGTATAGAAATATTAGGAAGGAGAAGGAGGAAATGAGGGAAAGAGGGGAATATAGAAAGATTAGGAAAGAGAAAGAGTAAGAGAGAAGGGGTAAATATGGAAATATTAGGAAGGAGAAAGAAAGAGAGCGGAAAATATAGAAAGATTACGAAGGAGAAAGCGAAAGAGGTAAAGAAAGAAAGAAATATAGAAAGATTAGGAAGGAGAAAGAGAGAGAAAGCGGGGGAATACCGAAAGACTAGGAAGGTGAAAGAGAAAGAGGGAGAGAGAAATGGAAATATAACAATATTAGGAAGGAGAAAGAAAAAGGGAGAGAGAGAGGGGGGAATATAGAAAGATTAGAAAGGTAAAAGGGAAACGTAAAAGTGAAAGGCAGAGAGAGAGAATATAAAAATATTAGGAAGGAGGAAGAGAAAGAGATAAGGAATAAACAGCGTATTTTGAAATATATTGTTGAAAATAAAGGAAGATAAGGGAATAGAATTTAAAGCAGCAGATTTGAAACATTTTTCTGCATCGTATTTGAATTAACAGATCGCCACAGCCAACAAGCACAATTGGCAAAACATCGGCTAATTAGCCTAATTGCTAATTGATTCAGACTTTATAATATAAATAATAAATAATGTAAATGAACAATCTAATAAATAAATAGTGTTTATCATTTCTGTTGTCAATTCTTAAGAACAAAAAAAAAAGATATGTATAAATTCACTTTTATCATATATTTTTATTTGGATAAAAATAACAGTACCAATCGTTAATAATTGGTTGTATATTATTTTTGTATACTAGAAGTAAGTAATATTTCTTTTAAATCAGATTAATTTAACATTAAATTTTCTAATTTTACTAAAATAACGTGTCAGAAACTTTTTTAAATATTTTTAAAATCGATAAATTTGTGTTTGTTTACAAATTTCGTAAAATTAAGAAAATGGCGGGAATTACGAAAATTTTAAATTCCAAAATTAAATTTGACATTCCAATGTATATAGTTTCTATCTGAAATACACCAGAATTGTTTCCTTAATGGAAATAATAAATTTAATGATTAAACTTTCAATTAAAGCTAAAATGAAATCTTCAAGCATGTTTTTTCATTTTTAAAAATTTATTTTAAAGTTAGGTATCGGAAATTTTGCCGGCAAAAGTGGAGGTACCTTTATTCCAATTGTAATCATTCCTGTTTAAAACAACAGACATTATCAAAGAGTGAAGGTAGCTAAAAAAGCGGTGTCATGGGAAAAAATCGTCCTTTTGACACTACGGCTTGTTACCGGTAAGTTTATCCATGTTTGCTGATGTATCTTTGACGAGTGCAATAGTGCATTTGCGAAACTTGAAATTGGAAAGTTAAGTAATTTGAGCTTTTATTGATCTACTAACTGTTGTTGCTCTTCATTTTTTTCGTTTTTCTTTTTCTTTTTTTGTACCTAAACTTTATGGATTTAAGCGTACTAATGACGGCAATTTTACAGTTAAAATGGCAGTTAAATCTTATAGTTAAACTGGCTAGATCTAACCGTAAGTTCTGTGTTAAGTTCTATGTTAACGGCTTCTTCTCTCGCAGTTCTCTCTTGTGGGACACTGTTCTAGCTTCGCAGTCAACATTGATCTTCAACAATGTAAATGCCATGTCAGTCATTATCTTGTGTCTTCTTAATTCCTGTTCTTCTATTGTCTTCTTTTCTTAAAAATATTTTCTTTTTCTCATATTGTCTCACACTCTTTTCATCTTAGCAACTTTTGCTTTGCTTGGTCTGAAATGATTGAAAAAATATTGAGTACGTTATTTCTAAAAATCTGATTGCCTTTCAACGCATTAAACTCCTGTAAATTACTAACCGACCGTGTTAATAATAATAATAATAATAATAATAATAATAATAATAATAATAATAAATAAATGAATAAATAAATAAAATGGTCTTGGAAGATTGCAGGAAAAAAGGTAGAAATCTCAGCACACATTGGATAAATTACCATGAACGTTTTGATGGTGTGCCACAGTCTTAGATCCTTAATGCTTTGTATTATGGGAACTTACCCATAATAATAATGGACTATTCCTGACATTATAAATACTGCGCCTCTCAAGAGGTATGAATGTTGTAAGACGAGGAGAGATAATTGAGAGCATATTGTAAGGACATTGGAATAGTGATACTTGTTGAGACAACATAGTTCACTCTAACCAAATCTGATAGTCATTACTAATACTTCTACTTCTTTGTATTATATTTCTGTTGTAATATATCTTTGTATTCCATACCTATGTTCGTGTTATTCTTTCATTGGTTCTAACCTTGGACCATCACCGTGGTACAAGGAACTTGGACCATAACAATTTACAAAGTTTCCTTGGTGATAGTAAATTTCCTGAAATATAACATGAAAAACATGTGGGAAACTTTATTATACCAAAATCACACCAAAGGTACTGCCACTTCCAACTGTTTGAATATCCGACGAGGAATCTTCCAAGGAGGCTCCCTATCGCCCTTTCTGTTCTCTCTGTCCTTAATCACTTTTATGCATGAACTAAACAATAATAGTTATGGATACAAACTAATCAAAAAAATATTCAATCACCTACTTTATATGGATGATTTGAAGCACTTTGCCAAAGACGACAATGAGTTGAATGGCTTCCTCAATACTGTAAAATGTTTCAGTGATGACATCGGTATGGATTTCGAATTAGATAAATGTGCCAAAGAAAGGGAGCATTACAGAAACATACACAAAGATTAGGGACCTTGAAGAAGAAGAAGAAGAAGAAGAAGAAGAAGAAGAAGAAGAAGAAGAAGCCTATAAGTACATAGGAGTCAGCGAAGAAGATGGAATACAGCATATGAATGAGAAAGTAGGAAAAGAATACTAGAGGCGTGTGCGTCTGGTGTTAAATACCGACTTGAATTCATGAAACAGGAACTCAGCCATAAACACTTTGGCTGTCTCTGTTGTACAATACAGTTTCAACATCCTTAATTAGACCATAGCTGATATTAAGCGAATGAATATCAAAACGAGAAAGTTTCTCAATTGTCACGGCATGCATCATCCTAAGGCTGGTGTTGGTGTATGTGTCTAGATCCGGAGGAGTCAGAGGTTTAGTTCAACTAGAACTGTCTTACAAAGCCTGAACAATCGGTTTTCAAAGATACCTGGAAACTACAGAAAACTGGATAATGATCTGTGTCAAATAATATGAAAGAAATAAGAAACTTTATATATAAAAGGCAGGATCTGTGTGTGTGTGTGTGTGTGTGTGTGTGTGTGTGTGTGTGTGTGTGTAATGAATGCACGGCCGCAATTTTCAACGGATTTGCACCAAAATTTACATGCACATGCTCCAAGTTAGTGGAAAGGCTAAGACTGACTTTGCATTTTACAACTGCCATTGATAGTGGAAATAATCGATTTTTTTATACTTCTACGGCAGTTTTCATGTAGTTTGCGGCCATTTTGTACTGGCCAAAGTGAGAGCCTATAGCTGGCTGCAACGAATAGTCAGCAAGATTCTATTGGCCAGCGTGAGAGCCAACAGCTGACTGACACGAATGTTAACTAGCATGCTAGCATTAAAAAAATCGATAACTGCATTAGTCACAAGTGGGAAAAATTTAAATCTGCATGGCACTTTACTCCAATTGGCTCATTCGCTTGCTTAAACTCAACGTTGATTCTGATTCCGCAGAACTGGGTTGGGTGTGAAAAAGTATTTGTTGTTAACATTCTTTTTCATTCGTTTTTTTCATTTACGTGTCCTTTTTTTTTTTAAAGCTGATCGTTTTGTGTTGATTTTGTTTAGTTCTTTTTTCGTAACAGGTTTAATGTTTAGTATAGAGCTTAGAAAAAATTCGCAGTGTGAGATAGGCAAGAAGTAAGGCATGTAGCAACATCAGCACAGCAAAGGGCACTCTTTTAAAGGCAAGGAAGGGCAAAAATATTTTAAGTCAAGTGATAGCGATTGCTGTATGAGTCGTACGATTTTTGAATCAAGCACGGGCAACGCCGGGCCATGCTGCTAGTTTGGTAATAAAGGAAGCCAATGTATTCAAAAGGGAATTTCAGGTGAATGAAGAAGGGCAAATAAAACATAATAACACCTACTGCAGCGGCAAAGAACCTAAAAAAGAACGCAAATGCAATGTTCCAAAGACAGAAAGAATGTCAAGAAAAGCTTTTTCGTGGTCAATACTCTGCCCTGATTTAGACAAACTTCGTATCCATCAGTAGCTACGTAGTGCAGGATTAAAAGCTGAAACTGAAGGTTTTATTCTTGCTGCACACGACTAATGCTTACTTACTAGAAATTACCAAGCATATATACTGAAAAATTGTGTTAACCAGAAAAGCAGATTCTGTGATAAATATTCAGAAGCAATTGACCTATCTTGTATCAGGTTGCACGGTGTTAGCACTCACTGAATATAAAACTTGGCATGATAGAGTGAGCCGATATCTGCACTGGAAAATATACAACTTTTACGTGAAGGAAACTAAAGAAACTGATGTAAACATCACCCAGAACCGGTTACAGACATAGGACGTGTAAAATTTTTATGGAACTTTACACACAGACAGAACAATCAATGTTAATCACATCCAGACATCTTGATCAAAGATCACAAAAACAGAATGTGCTTTCTTATTGATATGACAGTCCTTTCAGACTATAACGTATCTTTGAAGATCTTCAAAAAACTATCAAAATATAACGATTTTGAAGTGGAAAT